AACAGTTCACAAAAATACCACATAATGATATTACTGGTGAACTTATTAAAAAATTTTTCAAAGCTATTACATGCACCATTCTTTTGAATAATATTACAGAAATATCCTGAAACCTTTGCATACACACTTATTTCATTTTTGTCTGAATAGTGGCAATCTTCAGAGCTCCTGTTAAGTTAATCTTGGCATTCTTCTCATGCAGAAATCTTTGCCCATATTAGCCTGTCATATTTTCAGCAGCCTAGAAGCAGAAAAAACATTTATTGCAAGTCACCAAAAGAGACATCATATAGATTAAATTCAACCTTTTCTTGTAACTATTTTAATTTTCCTAGAACTAAAAAAAAAAACCAAACCTAAAAATGAAGAACTACTTATGAACATTTCTCTAATGAACGCTATTTTCTTAAAAAATAATGCTGTCGACAGCCATCACCGTTTTCTAAAATAGCCATTCCTGTTTGCTTGTGTTAAATTTTATGTCCTGTATCTGAGCAACTTGTATTCTGTACATTTTACCCTAATGCTTTCAAGGAGTGCTCAAATGCATGAATATGTTTACCTCTGGAGTTTACTACTTGATATAATTTGTGGTAATTATTATTCTCACTCATACAGATAAGCTATTGACACAAAACTTAGAAGAATTACACTAACTATAATTGTATAAATCACACTGCCAATTATTTCATTAAGAACATCAGTATTTTTTATTACTGCATAACTCAACCCAACCAACAAGGCACATTGTTGAAGACTGACATTGGAAGATTTTAGCCAGTTATGGGACAAACAGTCAAAAGATAGCAAGAGGAATGATACATCAGTAAAAGCAAATGAAAAAGCAAAACAGCCCTCAATTACTGAAATACGCATAGTTAAATGCATATGTATGCACGCATTCAAGCACAAATATAAAATATGCATGAGTATAGAAAAATGTTAAGCTAAAAATAAAGTATGCAGTCTTCTAGAATATAGGTATAGATATAGGTTTCCCCTCCACCTCCCAGATATAAACAAGTAGAAGATCCACTAGAAAACAATCATGATTGTGACGTTTAGGTAGACCATAAAGAATGAAAATCCTTCAAAAGTCAAGTGAGGATTTGTTTTTAAACCACTGTTATCCACTACTAGTTTAAACAGGAGGTAAATGCTAATATATGAAAAGCCCTATATATGCACACATCATGAAATCCCCTCTTGCTGGTCTTTGGAAAGGTTCAAAGCACAGGTTAATGTGGTGAAAGCTATATGTGAAGATTACACTACCAAGCTGCATGTACCCATTTACAAGTACTGCTGCATACTGTTAAGTCTGAGGTTATAGAAATGAAGTTATATTGGTTAAAGCAGAAAGTAGCGATCTATTTTTGATATGATGCAGATAAGGGGGCAAATAGTGACTACAAATGCCCAGAATAAAAATCTGGGGGTTTAGTTGTGGTTTTCATTTTTTTTTATTTTTTCCCCTTCACAAGAGTTAATCTAACTATTTTATTTGTACCATTTCCAGCATCATGTTTAATTCAGTTGTATTCATTGCCTTTTCCATGGAACAGTTAATTTCCTTGATTAAAACATGAATCATATCTTAAAGTACAATTTACAAATTGAAGTATAGCAAGTTGCACGTGCACCCAACTCTTAAAAACAAATTCCTAGGCTGTTTAAACAAAAGCATTACCTTTAGAGCTTCTGTAGCCTTGCGCAGTTCTTTAATAACAGATGACAATGCTTCTGGATTTATCCCTTGTTCACAAAGCCGCACACAAATAGACAATGTCTCCATATCCAAGCCAGTGTTTAATATTCTTGAAATCTCAAACAGAACTGCAACAGAAAAAATGAAAGCACTTTGGACCCTAAATACTATGAAATTTCAATTATCAAAATCATTATTCATCAACATTTAAATTCTACAGTAAAATGTGAACATGGTAGTTGTCCATTGCAGTCTGAACTTCAACAGCAGCATTCATGTTCAGCTTTCCAGCACAAGTTAAAAGCTACAGCTTCCAACATAAACACCATGCTTTTCTGGTTCAGGAAACTTAATAATGGATAATGGGTTTTGAAAAAGTAAAAAAAAATAAGTGAAGAATTCAACAATTAACATGCTTACCAATTATGTAAAAGGTAGGCTATAAAAACACTGTACTTCTGAACTCCAGATACTGATGATGTCCTGCTGAAATGGACTGGGAAGCACATTGTTAAAGCTTTTACAGAGAACGTCAGCAGTTTTCTAGCCACCTTCTTCCACAACTAAACCTGGCTTTAAGTCTAACATTAACACAAGTTTAATGATAAGCAATATTATTCAATTTTTATGTGTCCTGAATCAAGAGCAGCACCACATGTCAGTATGAGACCTTCTGGAGAAGGAGATTCCAGTTAGTTTCATTAAAAAATAGGTATCTCTCTTGCTCCTTCCCAAGTTTCTCTGGAAGGCCCCTTTTCTTTGATTCTCATAGACAGTTTGTCCCAGATACAACAGAACAACTCACTGAGATTTTATTTCTGATTTCTACAGTGATCTCCATCCTGAAGCTAAGCCCCAATACAGATTGATTTTGTACAGGTGTTACTCACACAGTTTCTGTAACCAAATCTCCCCCAAGCTAGGGAAAAGTGAAGTACAAGGTCTTTCTCACCAAGTAAAAGCATGGCAAGTGACTACTGTCCACTTACCCAAGACATTAAAAACCTAATGTATCCGGTCAGTTCCATTGAAGCCACAGCAAAAAAAATCTCTACATGTGAAAATATTCTTGAAGCCCACACAAGTAGGTTGGATTAAGAACATGAACAAGTTTAAGACATGAAAGCAGTCTGTCAGTCCAAAGTCCTATCTACAAGCCAGGAGGAAAGCTTCCATCCTTCTCTGCCTCAAGACATTCTTTTTCGTGCTGGCTTGAAAGCAAACGATTCCAAACACATTATACATGCACGCCCTGTCCATACAAAAGCATCTTCAACTAACAAACTGATGCAGTTGCAATAAAATGACATCGAATGTTTAAGAGCTACAGAACTAAGAAGGACTAAAAACTTCCCAGAAAGAAACAATTTTTACTTTTTTTAACCATTTAAAATCTATCAAAAATTTTACTAAGCATGTGACATATTTGAAGGCAGAGCAGTAAATACAACTGAAGATAAGTTCCAATTTCTATGTCAGCAAGAACTGTGGTCACTAGTTGGGGCAGTGTCTTTGGCAGAGAGATGTAGCAGTTTCTCCACAATTCCGAGCTCTTAGCTCTGCAGAGAACAACCGCTAAATATCTATGTCTATCCTAGATAAAAGATATACATTTTTACATGGGGAGCCTGGGCTCCTAAATCTGAAGATCAGTACACTTTCCATATCTGTTCTCAAAAGCCTTTCTTTGCCTTTAAATCCATGTATCATCCCTCCTGCCCAAAACATTCCTGCACAAACGGAGAGAATGGTTGTCAAGAACCTAGACTCTGTCCTTCCCAAACAAATCTCTCTCCATCTGCACAAATTAGTCTTAACCTCTTGCAGCATCAGAGGAGCCATAATTCTGCTAGTCCTGCCTTGCCTCCAGCAGCAGGTCAGAAAGTGAAGATCAGTGGTTGAAATGCTAATTTTTACACCAGCTCGACTGGTAAAGGTATTTGCTAAGAAACCCTTATGTAACTTCAAGAGAAGGGAAGATGCTGATAAAATAACAAATGTAAAGCAATAACCCCCCAAATGTTCTCCTTAGCCTCTATGCCCTCGTTAGGGCATTTCCAGAGAAAGTCTTTACATTTAAGAACCCTAAGGGGATTTCTTGGCAGCTTTCCACTCTGCATATAAGGCTTTGGCATAGGCATTTCATAGAATTCCAGAGTTTCACACTACACTAAGAAACAACTCCAGGATGTACCAGCTTTGATTCCTCATAGTGAGGCCAGAAGAGCAAGTGAACACCTGACCTGCTCACGTTTCTTGGCTTATAAATCTCCAAAATATTTCCCAGCACTCCCGGTGCCACTACTCCCACACTCCCCGTCCCATAACAGTTTTGGTTTGGGAGGTTTTTTTTGCATCAGAAACTACTCTAATTCTGTAACAATGACTACTGTTCTCAAAGCTTTTTCACTATATTGTTTGGTTTTGTTTCGTTTGTTTGGTTTTTTTATTTAGTTTACTTCTGTTTTCTGACTTGAGCCATCTAGGAGAAGGAGGGTTCAGATCAGTTCAGGTGCTGGCAGGGTTGGTCCTGCCTTTCCCTTCTACACACTTCGTTTCTCCCTGGCTTAAATCCAAGATGCACAGAGCCAGGTAGCATAATTTGCGTTATCCGGTACAAATAACAAGAAAGTAGAGTAAATATATACATATATTTAAAAACACTAAAACCCAACAGTATTCTCTATTAAGTACTTAGCTACCTAAAGATCCCTAAGAAAAGCCACTCGACGTCCAAATTCACTCGCACTATGCGGGTGTTTAAAGCGTTTCACACACTATGAGTAACACGAAACAAAAAAGACATTGCTACGCGCTGCATCTTCCAGTAGCCACAACCCGCACCCCTCTTCCCAGCAGAGGCGCCCGATGCGTTCGCTTCCTTCTTCATCCTGACCAGGCGGAATCGAAGGTCTGGAGTTGCTTCTTAGCGTTGTTTCTTGGCCACCTCGTGCGCGTCCCCGTCTCCCTCCCCCACTTCTGTCACGTACCGTCCATGGTCTCCCGGACTGCGTTCAGGCTGGCGGCGTTGCTCGCCATGGCGACTCCGCACCGCCCTCACATCCCCTCCCCCGGAACCGGAACGCGCCCCAGCTCCGGCCCCACGTGAGACCCCATCGCAGCGGCACGGCCGGGAGGGCGGGCTTTCTTTCGAATTCGTGCAGCGGCACCCCTGCCGATTGGCCCGTTCGAGAGAGAGGGAGCTCTGCCATTGGCCCGGCGGCGGAGGCCGCGCGCTGTCATTGGTCAGAGTTGTCGGAGGGGGCGGGGCTGTTTAAAGGGCCGCCCGGCGCGGCGGGGGCGGGAGCGATGAGTGGGGCCTGATGAGCGAGCGGCGCGGCGGCAGCGGCCCGGTAACGGTGGCAGGTGTCTGTGCCTCCGACTTCGGCACCCGCGACATCGCCCCCTCGGCGCCCGGGGACTGGGAGGGCGGCTCGGCGCGGTGGCACTATCTCGGGGAGAAGAGTGAGAAGGGGCTAAGCAGGGGCCCCTCACGCGGGGCTCCCGTCCTGTTCGCCGCCGCAGGGGCGCGGAAGGTGCCCTGCAGCGGGAGGGAGCGGTGCCGCCGCCCGAAGCCCTCGAGGGCCGGGGCAGGCCAGGCCAGGCCAGTTGGGGCGGGGGAGGGTGGTCGGTTTTAGCGCCTGGGCCAAGCGGGTCCTGCTCGGGACGTTATTGCTGCCCTGGCCCGCGGGCGGCACCGCGCGTCCCCCTTCCCGCCGCCCGAAGTCCTCCCGCGGGCAGGGGCTGCTGGGCTACTCCGGTGTGGAGGGAGGAGGGCGGGCTTGCCGCCCGCAACCCCGCTCGCCAATCCATCCCACCCCCGCGGTCGCTGCTTGGCGTGTGGGCACTGCGGGGCGGGCGGGGAGACCCTGCTGCCCGCGTCTTGTAACCCCTCCTTATTCCCGAAGCCCCTGAGTGCCCGCGCTTGGTGCGTGAGCTGCCCTCCAGGAACGTGTTTGGCGTCCTGACCGTTCTGTTTCTTCTTGTGGTTCGTGGGTGGTTTTTTTGGTTGCTTGTTATTTTGGTATTTGCTTGTTTGGTCTTTTTTTTAATTCCCTTTTTCCTGCCCTTTCTTATCTCGTTTTTTTAGGTTCTCTTTATTTTTAATTGTTTATATCAGCCTGATTTATCGGCTTTTTGCCAGTAGGTCCAAGCCAAAGCTAACTTCGTTTTTTTGTTAGTCCTTTAAATGCTTCTGGCACCTTAAAACAATTGATCGTCTCCTCCTAAAGCCTTCAACATGACCCTAAAATATCAAAATTAGGTTTTCATTATTTCCCTTAATTTTTCATCTCCCTCTCTCTTTTTCAGGTGTAGCTTAGTGTTATGGGTGATACAGAAGAAGCTAAAATGCAGATAGCACCAGAAACTCCAGGACGAGTTGCAATCCTGAATCCATTTGAAAGTCCCAGTGATTATTACACTCTTCAGGAGCAGATTGTCTCCAGTCCTTCGGTCTTTAAGTCAACAAAATCCTCATCAGTAAGCTCTAGTCTTTAGTTGTTTAACTACATATATATGGAATGTTAATATTTTCAAATGCACTTAGAAGGATATTTTTTTAGTGTACTTTAACGTATGTACTAAGCCAAAGAATTCTGGTAGTGTTTGGAGTTTCTTCTCTTTGCAGAAATATGCTGCTTTTAATACTAACATTGTTGCTTAGTCTTCCTACCTTTCTAAATTTATCTAATTTAATCCTTAGATATTTATTAAGTGATTGAGTGCTAAAAAAGCCCCAGTTCCTAAATAATAAAACTTAGTTGCATTACTGCTATGAGCTGTTTGTGCATTCAAATTATTGATTTAGTGTATATATAACTTGTAGTTGCAAATTACGTTTTGGTTTTTAGTTGAAATTATTTGCTGGTAAGAAGTAGAGAAGATACTATGCTAATGAAGATAAAAAGACTTGGTAGATAATTTTTCAAATGTATTTGACCAGTACTTGCTAATTGTTAGATAAAGGGATGAAGCTGCTTTATTTCTGAATTGGGTTTTGTTGTGCACTATGCATGGCATTACGAGGGAGACTTTGCAAGATGCATATGAGGTTGCAACTCTTCAGTCTTTGACATGGGAGGTGAAAGGAAGACTTTTATTGGATAACATGGTTTAGACACTGGGTGTTCATGGAACTACAATTTGGATTGTGGCAATCTAGAAACAACTAAATTTTATCCCAAGTGATGTATCTTTAGTAGATCTGTCCTCAGAAATTGAGAAGAAACTGACACCTCAGTTTGTAAATATTAGCTATAACTTTCCACTTAATATTATCTTATAAATCACTGTAATACCACTACCAGGGTAAGAAGCTTGACTGACTTAATTTTTTTTTAAAAGTAGGTCATTTAAATAGAAACTCTTCTGATTGTCCGAAACTATATGGAAGCAGTGATTGTGTTGTTCCATTGAGATTAGTCCTGTAGTTCTATTTTTATCTTTTTATAGTAGTAAGCATTAAGATGCCTGTTTCTTTTTTTTTCAGACACCAGGAAAATTTAGATGGTCTATTGATCAACTTGCTCTAATAAATCCTGTGGAAATTGACTCAGAAGATGTTCGACGTCAAGCAATGTATTTGAGCCATGCTAGGTAACTGCAATCTGTTTTTATGCAGTTAACTTAGCATTAATACTAGAACTCCGTTATTTTGCTTTATTAACATTTCAGCATAGCATTAAAGACTTTTTATTGAAATCTTTTAACATAAATTTTTGCATGTCCGTGATGTGGATATAATATTTAGATGAGGCTGCCTCGCTGTTAACTTCTTTTCGATGTTAAGAACCGCTGATCCACTGTGACTACAGTTTGGAAGACAGTCAGATAAAAGGAGTCAATGGAAGCAAGAAAATGTCTTGCTGGTGATTGTTACCAGGCTACCTCTTCTGTTCCTTGTTACAACACAGTTTATCTTCTCTCAGTATTCCTCCTGCAGAAGGGTAGAGCTGGGAAAGCTACCTAGGGAAGCCAGCATTCCCTTTCAAAGGTATAGATTAGACTTAACATGAAGGAGGAGGGGACCAATGCTAGTTACTTGAAGTAGTTTGGGGACCTTATCTCAATTTTTCCCTTTCTCTGAAAATAACTTTCGTGGGGAAAATGAGTAGGTAAAACAGGCTTGGTATTTGGAGTTTATCTTGAGGATAATTTTACATACCAGTAGAACAGAACAACATGTCAAGTGAAGGTAGTCAAGGGAGGTCATAGTGGTGAACCCTGTAGACAGTCCTGTATCTTTTTCAGATAAAACTTCCACAAAGAATTTCACCTCGTGGCATGAAGCATCGTAGTAATAGGATAATAAACCAATTTTCTATCCTATCTAAATCAGGTTGCTCGGATCTAAGGGGCATCTAACTCCTCTCCAAACAACCTGTTCCAGTGTTTCAACACCCTCCTCCTAAAAAATACTGTGAAATAGACTTACTGTTCTTAGTGTCTGATTGAACCTACATCTCTCTTTTTGAATAGGAAGAGCTGTAGAAGGAATATAACTGTCCTCAGCTGTATCTGTGAATCACCATGTCCTAATGTCAATATTTTTGTTCTTAATAGCCATTTGTTTCCTGGCCTTCCTCTAGCAGCCAGTAGGTTTCAGACTCTAATGCTTTTTATATGTTATAAAGCCTTAAGCCTTATGTTTTTTGGGGAGTCAATTACACTGTTTCTGGAAGCCTATTTGGACACACACAAACGGGCTTTAATCTAGATGGTTTAGGTGACAATTACAATGATGATTAGTGACACGGCTCACAGATATGTGTTTCTCAGTGGGTCCTTTTAGTTTGTCCCACTGTTTCATACCCACTGTGATTTTTTTTTTTTTTAAATCATTTCCTGTGACTAGAAAGAGGCTGGTTTGACTATGTGTAGATTTGCTATGTCCATGCTTGCATGTTTCAGTGTAGTACAGACGGAGTTTGTTATTTCTGATGGCTGCAAGCTGTACATGGTTAAATGCATATCTGTATATGAGTGTGTGTGTGTGTGTATGTGTAGGATTTTGCATGGAAACTTAATTTAGATTTCATAAATACGGTTTTATGGAAACAAAAGGGTCATAAATACAGCTCTTGATGTTAAAAGTTCATGATAAAAAAATTGAGTTTTTGAAGCCCATGCATAATGTTACGTGCACTATATACTCTTGTTAAAAGAGTTGTTAAAAGAGATAATTTATAATGCTTGTTATCAAGTAATTTTCTGAATTAATTGCAAACAACCACAAGCATAGGTAATTCCACGTATAACTATTTCAAACTGTTAAATCTCTATAATGTAGTAAAACAGTCTGAGGAGCAACACAGTGTAAAAGCTTATGAGCACTTGGAAAAGTCTGAGTGTGTATCACATATAGACTTGATTTTGTGTAGTATCACTGTTTCCATAAACTGGGCATCATCTATGTACTGTCAGTTTATTAAACTGCTTATAAGATGTTTAGGAGAATGCTTTTCTGGCAGACTTGTTGGTGAAAAATAGTCTGTCAATAATTGAGCAGACACATTGACACAGTCTTGTCCATAAACTTTCCCTTTCCTTTTTTATTTCTACTGATAGAAGCTGAATGTTTCTAAATTGGATGCTGTGCTATTATTCGTTAATTATTGAAAGATATCTGTCTGCATCGTGCATACTTTGCGTCACAGTTGCAAGTGCGATGTTGCTTGAAGTTGCATACAAGACTGGCTTGGTTTTATTCTTGTTAAATACATATGACATTTTCACTTCATTATTTTCCTGGAGTTACGCACTAAAGAAAAAAGGTCCTCTGTTACACTAACCAGCACTTTTAGTGGGAGCTGTTTTCCCAGTTCCTCTGTTTGCTTATTGTGATCTACTATGCATAAATATACAGTGATTGTATGCTTATTCTTTTTTGGTACAGTAACTGAATTTTGTGTAAGTATCTTCATAGAACTGTCACTTTAGCATCATCTAGGCAGATGTAATTGAAGATGGCGTGCTCAAGCATTGTAGATACATTCGAAGTGTGATAAGCATGAAAGAACGAACTGTGAAAGAGAATTCATGTATTAGGCACATCTGTGTGTTTGTGTTGTCTGACTGATTTCTAAAATTATTCAAGATTAATTCAAGTATAATATCTGTTTATGAAACCATTATGTGATTCAGCTAAGACAATGATGGACATTTGTAAGCTTCAAGAAATTTTACCATAAATTCCATAGTAGTAACTGAGTGAGACTAGGAGGTGACCATTAGAGGAAATATAAATATAGAATCTCACACATCATGGCTGAAGTAACTATAATATTTTTTTAAAAGATAGGTTAAAAGCTGCATAAGAGAATATGTTCATTGTTAGAAACTGAAATATGACATTATATTCTAAACTGAAGAAAATATGGCAGACTATCTATTTGGTAGAGAGAACTCTGCTGGGAAAGTGGGCTGTGTCAGGAATTTGAGTTTGCAAATTCCAGGAGTGTCTTCAGTTGCCCTTCAATTCCTTGTAGCCCAGGTTTTTATTCTGCTTGGTTTTATAGTGTAAGACTAATCTCACAGTAACTAATAGTAAAATCTATTCATATGACATTATTTTGGAAGATCAGTTGTGACTGAGTTTTTGTCCAGACTTGCTGATACAAGGAGTAAATAGATGATTTGCAAATGTGTACTTATAAATGGTACAGATCTTTTTCAAATGAACTGAACTGAGAATTGAATTTATATTTCTAAATTTATAGTATAAAATTATTGTGCATAACAGTAAAAACAATCTTACGATTTAGGGTTTAGTGCAATTTCATTTATAAAGTTCCTCTTGAGAATCTATAAATTATTATATGGTTGGACTTTACATTTTTTCTTACTTATGTGATGGTTTTGATAATTGAGTTGTCTTTCATTTGTTACTTAGAATTGATAAGGAGACAGAAGACAGAAGGCAAAAAGCTATTGAGGAGGTAATAAAACTTTGTGCTATCAAATACTGGGTTTTTTTTGTCAAAAAAAAAGGTCCACATGTGTTATAGGATTTCAAAACCCAAAAGCCTGTTATATTTCAGTAATAAAGTGATTTTTTCATCCTCATCCATTGTAATTGGAATCCACATGTTCTTTTTCTTCCCATCTTTTTTCACACACCTGCAGGCCAAAACAACATATTTTTTTCTTTCATGTAGCTTGGCTAGTGGTAATGTAGCTGTAAACTAACTTATAAATAGTTAACTTCAGGTTACAAATAATGATTGAGCATTTGGGGGTTTACAGTATCCATTAGTAGTTTATTGCATTTTTAAAAATATTGCAGAATTTTGTGATTTCTTTTGTTCCTTCCAAGGTCTGCTTAGTTGGATGTACGACTTTATTGTGGTAGCTTGTATATATTTCCATCCATTTTTCATTTTATTTTTTACTATCCATTTGTATAGCAGAGAAAGACAAGTGTTTCATATCTTCACTATAGAAATCTTAAATATAATTTCAGAAAGGTAAAATAAGGCTCTGGTAAGCCAGTCTGTGAGTTTCTGTCTCTACAAACAAAATATATATTTTATGATTCCATCAAGGTGCTGTGTACTTGACCTGCAGCTAAGATATTCTGTTTTTCTAAATCTGCATTAAAAAAGGTATTTCTTCTTTGTGAGATATAACCTAATGGATTCTGCAGCTGAACAGCTTGAAACCATGTCTCTGATAAAAATTATGTATTTAATAGTTGTGTTTCAAGCTGAGATTTTTCATTTACTTTGAGTCTTGCATTTATTGTGAAAACAAGATTTGCCATGTGTTTCTTGAAGCTATGTAATAGTGTTCATCTCCTCAGCATCAGGGCGTTCCGTAGTGCAACTGTGATGATAGATACAATTTCTGGTTCAAAGAAAAAGACTGAAATGCCAGTAACTCATAAATGTTTCACTGCTAACCAATTTAGCCAAATAAATTAATAATGTTACCAAAAAGCCTTGGTTTATCACTTTTACTGCAGTGTCTCTTTATCACTTCTGTGAAATAGCTCAATTGTCAAAATACAACTTGACAAACTGAAAATATGTAAAGAATTATTTTAAACTACTGTGCAATAAGTGAGGCAGTGACAGTTCAAATTTTTAAATGAGTAATTATTGTTAAATGAAACTTTTCTTCAATTTTCGCTCTGAAAGATCTGCAGTGCTGTGTGTTGTAAAGAATATGGGGTCTTCAACTTATTTTTTTCTTTAATCTCTCTGGGCCTGAAATAATAAGTTCTGCAATTTTTCTCGTTCAGGGTACTGATCTAAATCTAAGTTGAGGATCACCAATTTTTTTAAAGTGCTGAGATGCTTATTTTTATTCTGCTCTAGTTTTTCACAAAAAGGCTCATAGTTCCTTCTCCTTGGACTGAACATGAAGGCAAACAAGTTTCTCAATTTAATTCAACTAAATGTAAGTTGCTTTTCTGTGTCTGTCCAAAATAGTGTAGCTTTCGGAGAAATTATCAAGCATAATTTGTTTCAATCTTAATTTAAATTTTAAGAACTGGTGATAAAATATGGCACAACTGATATATTTTCAGCTGTTCTCTCCAAGTGCTCTTTTTAAGAATTATTTATTAATCAAGTCTTGTATAGTTTTTCCTTTTTATTATTTTTGGTTCTTGTTCTTAAATCTTTTTACTTTAATAAACTTGTTTTTAACCAATTTAATTTGCATACAGAATTGCACTGTTGATACTGGTAATAGCCAAGTCTTCTACTTTGCTTTTTATTTCTGATATTTGCACGTCCTCCCTATTCTGACTGCTTTCCTCACCATATAAGCATATGGGAAATAAAGTTCCATATTTTTTTACCCTTGTTGCATAAATTCCTGTTGTCGTCTTAGTGTCGTGCTAACTCATAGTCACTGCTCGTGGGTTTCCTAAGTTCATTATGTTTATGCCCATGTGAGATTTTATTCTTAATGCTATTGTTACTGAAGTTTATATATAGCCAGGAGAATACATAGTAAATGGACTACAAGCCGGACAAATGTCAACTATAAAGTATTGTTTCATTGGAAATTCTTAAATAAGTGGTGATTTTTCAAGATTTGGAAAAGGCTAAACTTATATGTTTTTTATCAAGGAGATGCAGCTTTTGTATAGTGTATTTTTTATTGTCAATTGTAAGATCGTCATTTTTTGAGCAGAGAACACGAGCCACCATCCAAGATCTAGAAAAGTGAATGGTAAAGGAAGATGGTCTAATGTGTTCTTTAGCTATATAAAAAAACTGAAATATTTCTTCACCTCAAATCCAGACTGAGTGATTTTATGGAAATGTGTTCTACTTGAACACAGCTTGTTTAGCTAAGTGTAAACTAGTTTGTTTTAAATCAAATGTAGAGAAGGCTGCAGGAGACAAAGGTCTGAGCAACGCTGATGGTATTTCACTATGCTTTGTTTGAATAGAAAGGTGCTGAAATTCTCTTAATCAGCAGTAATGGTAACCTTTTTTCAGTACGCCTTTTTAATCTCTTCCAAACTTGGATGCAAAAGTTTTGTTTAGTTGTATTAAATATTCTAACTCTATATGCAATGCATGCTTAAATTTAAGTTCTTCTGTGTTTTACAGCCATTGATCTAAATAACATTTCTCCAATTGGAAGACAGCTAAGCTTGCAGCCTGGAAAGAGCAATGGTGAGTAAAAGGCAATGTCTGAAATTACAGGCTTTCTCTGAAGCAAGAAACCCATTTTAAATGGCTGTTTAATTTAAAAGGGGAATTATTTGTTTGTTAATATTCCTGTAGAAATAGTTTTTCTTGACCTGAATGGTATTATTAATTTTAATGTCCACTTCTCATAGTAATTTAATTCTGTTATACTCTCTGGTATTTTTTCTGAAGTAAAAAATGAAGTCCCCTGTAAGACTGTGGGGTGCATTTTTTCCAACTCAATGTATGCACTTTTTCTGAATTAAGAAGTGAATGTAAGTCTCAGGTTTATGGGTAAATTACAGTTTCAAGAAACCTTTAATGTGTTGGATTGTTAAGGGTTAGAGAATCTTGGTTATTTTCTATGCCAAATAAATAGCAGAAATCTTAATACATCTTTTAAACTGTATCATTTTAGATATAGGTAGTGTTTTTCCCCAGGGTATTTTGATGATTTTTCTCCCATTTCCTTTTGAATCCTTCCTTTCTTCAGAGACCTCTTTCCTCAGTTAACATAAAAGCCTCTAGAGAGGCATTCTTACAACTCCTGGGTTTTTTATCTCTAGGCCTAATGTGCTGCATATAGTGTTGTCAAATCAGAATCACAGCTTTAATTAACACTTTTCCTTATTGCAGCTGTAATTTAAATAGCTCAATTGTGGTGCAATTTGAAAGTGAATGTTTGTCTCTACAGTTTTAGTAAAAGGTCACTAAGCTAATTTTGTTGGTTTTATTCATTGCAGCTGCTTGTCAGACGGTACTGTCTTTGCCAGTGGATATTAATTTAGAGAAAATACTAGGTATGTCATGCAATATCTGTATTTATGAATGTCTAAATATTTGCTGGGTGGTTTTGTCTTATGAAATACTGAGAACCAAATGAATGAACAAGTTTTAAGTATGTGTTCTAAATGGATAGTGTGTGTTGCACAGGACATGTGACTTAAATGATATGATTTGAGTGTGGACATAAAGACAGAAAAGGAGGGATATGGAAGACAACTGGAAATTGTTCAGCCTGGAGGACACTGAGAGGAGACCTCATTGCAGTGTACAGCTTTGTCATGAAGGGAAGCAGAGGGGCAGACACTTATCTCTTCTCTGTGATGACCAGTGACAGGACCTGAGGGAATGGCCTAAGTTTTGTCAGGGGAGGTTTAGGTTGGATATTAGAACGAGGCTCTTTACCCAGAGGATGGTTGGGCACTGGAACAGCACCAAGCCTGCCAGAGTTCAAGAAGTGTTTGGATGATACTGTCAGGGACATAGTGTGAATCTTGGGGATGGTCCTGTGCAGGGCCAGGAGTTGGACTTGATGATCCTTGTGGGTCCATCCCAACTCAGGATATTCTATGATTCTATGAAATTGATTAACAGTTAACAAATGCATAAAAGGTAGTGCATGGCCAGTCTTCGCAAACGAAGATTTTGGGAAAGGTCTTTTACCTTTCCAGCCTGCGCAATGGATTTTTTAGGTGAGACACAGCATGCGCTGAACTGAGCCCACCCTTTAATCTGAAGGTTCATCTGTTGGGGCCAAGCGAGCTTGGACAATGGCAGTGAGGTCCTCCGGACGTAGGTTTGTTTAGAGTGACCTTCTCATAGATGGATGGCCTTAGAGGGCTGACGAGCTCCATCTGCCCCAGGGGAGTATCCCTGACCGGGAATCGAACCCGGGCCAAATCGAACCCGGGCCGCGGCGGTGAGAGCGCCACATCCTAACCACTAGACCACCAGGGGTCCCCCATAATAAAGGTAGTAAGCAGAAGATAACTCCTGCCTCCCCCAAACAGAGCAGTTACTTGACTCAGCAGAGCTGTTTGACTTACAGATGACTGGTTGTGAGACTCATAGTCCAACCTTACCTTGGGTAAGGCTGTGCTTTAACCCTGCCTTTAATTTAACTGAAGCCATGGTGGTGACTAGAAGTTATGTGGTAGCAAAAAGCCATGACTGCTGAGTGAGGAGGCAACAGAGACAACAGTCCAAATTAACTGTCTGGTTATAAATGCTATGTCAAGCAATTGCTGCCACCTTCTCAAGCTTCTCAGGCTGGAAAGGCCTGTTCTTACTGCTCATGTGGGAACAGTCGGTACAACCAGCTCAGAGGGTTTCGTCTGCATGCAGCTATCCCAGTATTAAATTTCACAACCCTGACTGTGGGTCATCAAAATTAAAACAGAAAAACAATACCATATCTATTGCCTTTGGTTTTTGTCTTAACAAATGCTTCCATCAACCCATAATTTTTGAGTTCATTAAAAGTTTCTTCTATAAGGAATATCCAGTTAGAATAGAGCGAGAGCAAGAAAGTAAAATAATCTGGTAAGTTTTAGCGTATTTTAATGGGTCTCAGTTAACCTCTGTATAATTTCCTACTGTAAGCTGATAACTGCTTGGACTTTCTTCAAGTTGAAACTGGTTTGCCTCTGGATGTATCACGAAGACCATTTAAACACCTGGGAGACCTGAAAAAGAGTTTAGTTTTTCTTGGGTATTAAAAAAATCACTTTTGCAACTCAGATGTGAGGAATTGGGAAAAGACCAGTAAGTAGATGCTAGCCTATATATATACTTTTTTTTTTTTTTTAATTCAGACCCTAGTATTAAGCGATGATAAGCAGAAGTGGAACCTTTGTGGACAGAGTGGATGTTTTGTAGTGGTAACAAGCTATCCTTTGGGATAGGTGCCTAATTAGATTAATGACTTGCTGCGTTGGTAAATTGGATTAAATGCTTTTATTTAGTTATATATATCTCTGTAGTAAGATTTTTTTTTTCTGCATTCTTATTGGAAACAACTTTTTCCCATGATTTCTAGGTGAATATTTTAGAACTGAAGAATTTGCAGATCAATCTCAGGAAAATCTAAGCTCTTCATCACTCAGAAGAAAGCTGTTTTTAGAAGAAAATGGAAGTGTATCTGCATGTTTGTCCCCTTCTCTGCATAGTCCATGCAGTAGTCAGCCACTTGGAGTGCTTTGTTCAATAGAATTATCACCAGTCCGGTGCAGAAGCCCTCTGGACACATCTAGTTCAGTAAGTAGCCTGTTTTGTGGGCTGGATGGGATGTACTTTGAGGGAGTAGGTGCTAGACTTAAGGATGGTGGTTTTTTTTTTTCCAAATTCAGAAAAAACTGTGTGAACTAAAAGTATTGAAAGAATATATTACTGACTTTTTACTTTATCAAATTATTTTGTTGTGCTGCTATTCTTTTCTTTAGAAGGAATTATGTTCTAATGTTATGAAATGGAAGTAGAAATTAAAACATGCAAAAGACTTGCTGAAAGCATGTTGAAACCTTTTCTCCATAAAATGTGTATACAAAAAAAGTCCTGTTTAAATGCATGAACTACTCTCTAAAATACCAGTTGATATGAACCTGTGATATAATTATTTCCCTTATAGCTCATAAACTCATTTATAGTGGAAGACATTAATTGAGGATCTTTGAATGCAGGGCTAAATGTGCTGTTTTTCTTTTCCATTGACCAGAGTTTTCAGATGAATAGACATTTATTAGAACACAGAACATAATGTCTGTTCTTTAATTGAAACAAAGTAAACCTTATTCCTGGGTGGACATAGCACAGCGGAACTGATTTAGGTGATATGGTTTCATCTGTTTGGTGGCTGAAGTGCATGGAAAAAAACTACCCTAGGAATAGTGTGGCTTAAAAAAAAGTTTACTATGGCAACCTAGTAAAGAATTCCTTTAACAGAATAGTAGTCACGTTCTTGCAGTATAATGCTCTTTTCTTAAGGAGAAATAGTTTCATGTTTTGCCTGCTGCTGAAGTAAGTAATTCAGAAAATATGGATTACATTAAAATATAAATAGTGGCCGACTTTCAACAACATTGATATGAGCAAGAAATTTAGATCAGATACTTGACTAGACACAGATAGCATTAATTCTCTGTTTAGGTTTCTCAGAGTTCTTAAATCTAATGGATATAGTAGGCCTAGTTGGTATTATGTGACAGTTTGAGTCCATTGCTCTCTTCTCCTATGTGGAGCCATAAGGTCCAGGTAAAGAGCTGCACTGAAATATTTAAGCTAAACTAATGATAGAGATTGTCACTGTAGAGGATTAGTCTTTCTCAGTGCTGCCATATTAAACTTTTAAATTAGAACACTTTGGAACACTTTTTATATATACATATAAGCCAAAGTTAACATTATGAAAATATGCTGTGTGGTTTTGATTTTGTTTTTCTGAAGGGCCAGTTTTCTTCAAGTCCTATTCAGGGAGGAACAAGAGCTTATAGTCTGGGAAGTATAACCAGTCCCACATTTTCAGAGGGGTCTCCTGCACGTAGTGGTTCTCCTACTTTTTCACCAATTGCTTTTCACATAAGAAAAACACCACTCTCAGGTATGGTTTAATTGTATATGTGTTATTCTTTCTTGAGTCATATATTTTTATTATAAAAATTTTTTATTATAAATTTTTTTATTATAAAAACTGCTGAATTCTTAGGGGAACCTATTTCTGTTAGGAGACAAGTTATTATGCTTGGCAGACTAGCAGTCTCCTCCTATATGACACATTTACTGTTTAGCAGTGAAATATGTGAGACAATGAAATGTATATGCTTACAAAGAAATCAACTAGGGAAAATACTTTAGAAGCAGGCATTGAGACCTTATAGGAATGAAAAAAGTTAGAAGGGTTAATCTAGTGTGGGAGGGAGTTCAAAGCCACATGTCTAAAAGTCAGGTCACAATTCTGATTTGGCCCAACCTGAAGCATTTGAATGTCAATGGACAAAGAATGTTTAGATTGAGTTTTCAAATCATGCAATCATGAAGATTATTTGAAATGAAACTGATGAGTGAAGAAGTCACGAACATTTTGTGTCTTTGTAGCTCTAGAAAATGTCAGTATTTCATGCCATGTCCATAACCTGGAAAGGCTTTAACGGCATGTTTATGATTTTGATGTTATCAAAACACCATTATATGTGGAGATTGCATATGTGTTTTCTCACTTGTTTGATCATCTTAAATTTTATTGCTGCCAAAAATTAAATACCTATAGAATATATGTATTGATACTTGTTTGGGAAAAACCCACAGAACCAGCCTTCACACATTTTCCTTTGAATATTGTGTAGTAATGACATTTGAAAATAGAAGGTCTCCAATGCAGTAAACCATGTTACAGAAAACAAATTTCGTGGTAAAAATGGGAAAGAAACTTGCCTTTACCATGATAGTTAAAATGTGCTGCTGGTTTGTTTGGTGTTTGGGGTTGTTTGATTTGGTTGGGAGACCGGGGTCAGTGACATGCTATTTACTTGGATATAAATGATTTAGTGAACTGTAAGCCCTTGAGGATGATGAATTTTTTCTATTAGATATTATGTGGAATTAAACTTTGGTTTTTTACAGACCAAAGAAAATTTACATTTCGTTCTCCAGATATTCCTTCTTCCTCAAATAGAATGACACCGCCAAGTACAAGAAGTCCTTACATAGATGGTTGTTCTCCAATTAAAAATTGCTCTCCTATGAGGCTTGGAGCTTGTAGAGGGACTGCCCAGTATCAGACTTCTGTCATTAGAATACCAATTGCAGTTGAGACTCACGATGAGGATGAGGAAGATAAGGAAAATGCTTCTCCAGCAGAAGCTCGGTTCCCAGAAATGGATAATGGAATAAACTTATGTCAGGAAGACAGTGATACTTTTGCACATGGTACACATCTTGTGGTGGCAACTGTGTCTATTGCACCAGATCACTCAGAAGCTTGTCATCAAAGGTTGTCATCATTTCAGGATATAGAAGGCTTAAAAGAAAATAATACTGTAGATATGGCTGATGCAGCTGAAGTGTCAGAGGAAAACACTTGGATAAAAGAAACAATTGGCAATAGCAATACACCAATGACCAGCTTTATGACAGGCATTACTTTCAGTATTGAAAGCTCTCGGATGTGCATGTCACCTCTTGCCGAAAGCAGTGCAATTCCTTGTGACAACAGTAGTATTCAGGTAAAAATAAAAATTTTTTTTGCTTCTCTATAAAACTGAGCTGAACATAATAACTGGAATACATATACTATTCTGGAAGTAATTATTATTTTCTTGTATTGGTTGTGGCATGCTGGTGGTATCATGACTTTTATCGCTTCCCTCCCATCCCGTCTTTGCTCTCAGTGGAGTTAGCATAGCAATTACAAATTATTTTTGTGTTGCTCTGTACAGCAATACATTTAACTTAATCCAAGCTAATTCTGACAAACCTGCTTACGATTTGCTTTTGTTGTTAACTGATTGTAGTTGGTTTGTTGGATTAAGTTCTGTTAATCAAATGAAAATCATATCAAGTATCTGAGGGATTTATTGGTATTAGAATTACAGTACATTTTTCAAGCCCTGCTTCTTGATTTCAGGTGGACAGTGGTTACAGTACACAGACTTGTGGAAACAGCATTATGGATACTGCGGGGGCTGAAAACAGCTGCAGAGAAAATGATGTGAATACTGTAGTTTTTCAGAATAAATCTCAGATGCTTAGAACAAAGGTAGGAGTTAAATTGTGATACAAAAGTGAGAGGCTTCCCATCTAAAGCATCCATTCCCCATTTTGTTTGGTTCCAGGGAGCCTGGGGGGAGAGGCGGTGAGGTGATAATAAAGATCTTAATGTAGCGTCATTTCAAGTATGTAGAAAATGGGGAATAAATGCAGGAAAAATTATCTTAAGGTGGCGATAAAATTAATGTGTTTTATGACAAAGGCAGGTTTTTTCAGAGGAAACTGAGGTATATATGTGAATGGTAGTTGTGAGGCTGCTCATGGTTTCAGATGTATTGGGAGTATTGGAGTCTGTCATTTTTGTTTCTGTTGTTCTTGCTGCTTTCTTTTTTTGCTAAATTTTTAAATGTGTGCCTGTGGAGAAGGACATTTTTTGAGGAAAACTGTCCGCTGCTGATTTTCATAAACTCATTTGTAAGTTTCTTAGAGCACACCTAGCATGCTGACTTGGTGGGGAACTTTCTGCTTGGGTACAGTACAAGTGCTTTGATGACCTATCTGAAAAAAAATTACAAAAGACAATACATATCTAGCAAGACTCCTAAACCAATAATATTGTGAATGATTGGAAGGAATTCTACTTCTTGCAGAGAATTGGAAGCAAGGCTGTTTTCTTTGGAGAAGAGAGCAAAGATCATCTCCTCTCACTTAGTAATTATGGTCTTATGGTCTTACAAACTTAGTAGTTTATGGTCTGCGACTTAGTGTTGTTTACAGTCCTTGAAGGGGAGACAATACTGAACTGTAGTACCAAATTATAAAAAATCCTCAAGTAGGCCCATTCAGCCCTGACTTCACTTCTGTATCTGACATGCTAATAGCCAACTCTCTGCCAAGGTGAAGTACAGACTGATGGTGTCTTACAGACCATTGACATCAAATTCTGATCTCTGCTCATTTAAGACTAGGATAAATGTGCCCTTACAAAATTAAAAGGAGATGGATATTTTGTCTTTAACATCTAAAAATATACATCTACTCTGAGGTCTTGCCCCAGTCACCCTGTTGGACGAGGATTAGATGTGTGAATGTACTTCCCAGAAACAATTGTATAGTATCAAACCTGACCTAGAGGGACTCACCAATGTTATGCAGCTTTCTTTTCCCACTATTAGTCTTTCAGTTACTAGATCCTGACTAAGCCCAATTTTGCATTTCAGATTAGTATTTAAGTATGAAGGCATTAAGTACTTCATTCAACTCTCACAAGAGACAGAACCTCCAGAGAATGGAAATAAAAAAGCACAGACACTGCTGGCTGAAAGAATTGAGTCTGCCTCATTCAGAGCATGTGAGCTCTGAAAGGAGGTGGTTTTAGCTGACAGCATGTTTCAAAGATCTGTGCAGAGAAAACATATTATTTCATTTCTTTCTCATTTCAAAAGGGGAGAGGTGGTACTTAAGGTACTTATTGTACTTGAAATTTGCAGATAGTAGGTTTGGATCTTATTTCTTATGGAGAATTTCTGTGAAAATGGTTTTAAAATTAACTTTTCCTTATTCATCTAGGAGTGTTCTGTTTTAAGCCATAAGGACAATCAGTTGCTGAGAGCAAAATCTCCAGAGACGCAATCCTGTTTCCAAAAGGCAAAACCACATACTACAATATTTGGAAAAAATGCAACTTGCAATATTTCTGCTTGGAAACATAAAAATTAAAATCAAGGTCAGGAATTTCACAAAACTGGTATGTAGTTTTCTGATGGAGAATTTGTGTTGTCTAATAAATTTTTATACATATGATCTCAGTTACCTGGATTATACCTACCTTTTTGCTTTGTTAATGCAAATGTAATAAATTTTCTGTTATATATTAGGGGAGTTTTTAAATAATGTGGGATTTTTCAGGTCTTATGAACAAATTTATTGGTATTATTAAGTGATCCTTTTTTGAAAATTAAGGCGTCTAGAGTTAGTACAGAGAAACAATACTTTTTTTTCAGAATTGTGTTCCTTCTGTGATTAGGGTAGATTCCATGAGGAATCTTGTCTTGAAAGTTTGGACATAGCTTCAACTTCCAGATGGGTGTTTCAGATAGATTGAGCAAACCTAGGATAACTTGCATAGGAACAAACATAACTGCAAAACCAGCTACATTTTAAGATTTGTCCCTCCTAAAAGCATGAGGGACATTTTTTTTGTGGGGGAGAGAAAAAGGAAAGGAATATTCATTTTGATTTGGATTGCTTGTCCCCAGTCAGATTTATTGTGTGGCTTCATGAATACTAGCACTGGTAACAAGAGTGAGTCACTGAACAGAAATGAACTGCTGGGGGTGTGATGAGAGCAAACCCCAAAGTTTAGTTCTTTTAGTAATACAAAATAAGCTTTATGTCAAAAGCAGCTATTTAGCAGTTCTCTGAATAGCTTTTAGCTTGGTTTGACAGAAGGCTGCCTGTCTGTCAGTTAGATTCACTATGTACTTGAGTAAAATGTATTATTGGTTATTTAAAATTAAATTGTAGTGTCGCTTTAGTAATTGTATTAGTACTAACCTTGGAGCTGATCACCTGACTCCACCAGTGCCTCCTAAGAACACTTGCGTCCAAACTGATGCTCCAGTACACTTCAGAAGGAACATAAGAAGGTGCACTAAGATTAATTGGTCTCAGTACATCACTAAGAGAATGGTGCAGCCTTTCTTCTATCAAAGTAAACCATTACACTTTTACTTCTCTCTTATGTTTAATTCCCAGTATTATTATGTTGCTTACAGAAATTACCAAAATATTTATATAAACCCTTAAAAATATAATTAACTTCTGCATGCGACTTATTTCAGAAAGTATTAATACAAACAAACCCTTGATTCTTTCAAGAAAATCATCAGTGATTAAAATAATGAATTGAGGAGGGTCTAGAATCCCAGAACTCCCTTTGTCTAATCAAATCAGATTTGGTTACATTTGATTTGATTTGTTTAAAAGAACCTTCTGGCATTTATAAATGTGAATGGGGGAAAAAAAAAATCCATGTAGTAATCTTCTAGTCCTAGTGACTAAGAGGGGAAGAAGAGATAAGGGAAATACTGAGATTTCCGAGCTCTGTTTATGTAGAGCTCTGAAGTAAATTTGTTGGGTTAATGAAAATGATAAGTCCGTTGTAATATGTATTCCAGGTGAAGTAGTCTGTCTGTCTTTCATAGCAAGGATGTTCAGTCCCAGGGTGCTGGATTCCTGCTTTCTGTTCTATTCCACAACCCACAGAAAAGCTTGTACCAAAGTGATAGGTGGTGGCTGATGAGTAGCTATTGGCACACTAAGCCTGAAACCATTGATCAGACCTAAATTTGAAGGCATAAAACTCCTAATGTGAGCAGAATTGCATGGCATCAAAATCAGCATGTTAGACCTGAGACTTGTGTGTGTTGTTTGAATAGAACAGTTCTTGAAATATTTTCATTTTTAATTCACCAGTGAAGGCTTTCTGAAAAACGTACTTAAGAAAAAGGGAAGCTTCTATATACAGCACTTGGTTTTACTTCTCACATTGCAAAAATAAATATAAAAAAATTTACTTTAGTTTTCTAACCAGCAACCATGATGTGCATTATATTTACTTCTGTAGCACTTTAATCACTATTTCTGTAATGCATATTGGATTGACAGTAATTGAATCTAGCATCCTAAATTATCTATTTCATGATCTTCAAACAGTGCTCTACTAAAAACTGGAAATACACAGACTTGGTAACTTCTAGGGGATGACTTTTGTTAAAAGTAGGAAATGAACAACATACTTCATTGTATATGACTTTTATACAATAGGGCCTTCAAAATGTTCTTAGCTTTAGCTTGTAAGTTTTGTCACTCAAAAGCAGGACATAACTTGTCTAAGACTTATAAGTTATGTATGACCTCGTGTCTTTTCTGTTTCTCATAATAGTTTTCTTTAGCAATAATCAATTGAAAGGAGGAATTTCAGATTTCTGGACTGTACACAGGATTTATTTTTGCAACTGTGATTACTAAAAATAGTACTGTAATTTAATGAATTTAAAAAGCAGGGTGGTCCAAATTATCTTTTTCTGAACTGTTCTGCATTAGATGTGTAATTAGGAATGGGTTATATTTTTTAATTTTTTTTTTGAATTTTTAATAATATGTTCAATGATTGGAGGCTTTTGAAGTATTCACAAATAAAAAATCTATCGTTAAAATACTTAATTTCAGCCTGTATTAGTACATTCTTAAAGGTTAGGGAAAAGTAACAGCAGAAATGTGTGAATGGGAGAAGTAATTAAGGATCTCCCCAAGTAAATTGCCTGTATTTTCTGTCCTGTTTTGTAGTCTTCAGTTAGATGGGAAATATTTATTTTATGAAAACATGCATATTTTTTTATTGTGTTTTGGACAACAGATTTGGAGAAGAAACCTACTGTGCAAATTACCATGGAAATAACTTGACCATTCTGTTTCTGTAGTTGTTCTTAATGCATTGGTTGGCACACATTGCACAAAACGGTCATTGTTTACATTAAATTAATTTCAGTAGTTTTAATGAGAGTCCTTTAACATGTCTAATTGTAAATTGAGTAGAGGAACAGAATAAAGACATCTCTTTCATACCTATGTTGTTCAATTACTTCTTTCAGTTCGGAGGTGCTAAAGAGGAGGCACTGAAGAGACAGACTTCTGTCAAGCTCTCAAATAGCCTTAAGGCTGTTAAAAAGAAACCCTACATTCATTCCTTCGCTTTGCAGAAACATTTATTTTCACCCACAAGACAAAGGTGTAGATAATAGCTGGTTTTAAAAATACTGTTCTGCATATATAGTCATAAAAAAGTAGCTTAAAAATTTTTTTACAGATTATTAAAATACGTATTTAAAAAGTAAACAAAATTAGTTTCTTGCATTTTGCCCATAGGGAAAAATAAGTAAATGCAAATAATTGTGTGATTTCTTGTTAACTTTTATATTCAGCTATTTTTGTAGCTTCTTTTTCTTTTTCTCCGGTTCATTCTCACTGCTTGCCTCTGTAGATGGATTTGCAGACACATCCTTTCCTAGTATCTATAGTAAGGAAAAAAAAAAAGAAATCAAAACATTTTTGACTCAATTTTTTTCTATCCTGGTAAAACTTGAGTTTACTTGTACAAACTTTTACATACACTGCATCAATATCAGAACCTTTTGATTTAGAAAATCATCTGCTACAAGACAGTGTGGGAATCAGAAATGGGAAGAGATCAAATTTACAGACCAAGACTATAGACTGGACCCAGAGACATGTTTCTCTCTGTGAGACAGCATTTAAGTGGCTGAACCTTTGGATGGACACAAAGGGAATGATCACTGCATGTGCATCTTATTCCTTTATTCCTATATTTCTTTCTTACTAGAAAGGAAGACTAGTAACTGATATTTAAGATGACGGAGTATTTTGGATTAACCAGTACAGCTAATCATGTATCAAGGGATAACCTCAAATTATAGCACTTATTTTGTTGTAGAGTAAGGACCTTCCCAGAAATTACTACAAGTAGAATGGAAGAACAGGGGAAAAAACCCCAAACCATCAGCTTGTATTAGTCTTACTTTGTGTCTGTTTTAAAAGTGTGTCCCTTGGACTGGAGTCACAGCTGCAAGAATGTTCCTGAGTCATGCCCCTAGCAGTAGCTTAGTTGGTGAGCACAAACAAGGGGTAGCTCAGAAAGTGAATGCACAACAGAATACAACGGTTCCTTTCTATTACAAATTTCATTATCTACTCCCAGTTTTTAAAATCACAAGGACTAGCTTCAACTCAGTCCAGTCTGGGGAGGATGAACAGATGGAGAGCAGCCCTACCAAGAAGGACTTGGGGGTGCTGGTGGATGAGAGGCTGGACAGGAGCTGGCTATCTGTGCTTGCAACTCACAAGGGCAGTTGTATCCTGGGCTGCATTGAAAGCAGAGTGGCCAGCAGGACAAGGGAAGTGATTTTGCCTCTCTACTCATCTCTGGTGAGACCCCATTTGGAGCACTGCATCCAGCTCTGGGGTGCCCAGCACAGGAAGGACATGTTGAAATGAATACATAGGAGGGACACCAAGATGATTAGAGGGATGGAGCACCTCTCCTATGAGGAAAGGCTGAGAGAATGGGGATTGTCCAGCTTGCAGAAGAGAAGGCTCTAGGTAGACCTTTGAGCAGCCTTCCAGTACGTGAAGGGAGCCTACAAGAAGGCTGGAGAGGGACTTTTCACAAGAGCTTGTAGTGACAGGAGAAGTGGGAAGGGTTTTAAGTGGGCAGGTTTAGATTAGCTATTAGGAAGAAATTCTTTACTGTGAGAATGGTGAGACACTGGAACAGGTTTCCCAGAGAAGCTGTAAATGCCCCTTCCCTGGAGGTGTTCCAGGCCAGGTTGGATGGGGCCTTTGAGCAACCTGGTCCAGTGGAAGGTGTCCCTGCCCATGCCAAGGGGGTTGAAACTAGATGATCTTTAGGGTCCCTTCCAACCCAAAGCATTCTATGGTTCAAGATAATAAAAGAGCTCAAAGATCAGAATATTTACAGGCACTTGGAAACATGATTTCTCAAGGAAAAAAGAAATAATAATGTTTGACTGTATAAACAACAAGGAGCTCTTGCATATTTTGGGTTGTCTTTTTCCTCTATGATTAGGGCTACTCAATTACTGCAACCATATGTTTACAAAGAAAGTCACATGTAACTTTAAGTGCACAATCTTGTAATGTCTTGCAAAATACTTAACAGGTCTAAGGTGTGAGACCAAGTGAAAAGCCCAGTGTCCCAGATGCACTAATAAGCTGGAATTGAAAAGTCTTAAGCCAGAGGCAGTTACTAGGACATTACAGTTCTTTCAACATTATCAAGAGAAAGTTTTTATATTGTGGGAGTTGTAGGACAGAACTGCCATGACAGCCAGCAATTATACAGAGTTAACTTCTGAGCCACCCATCACACTACAATTCACTGGAGCAAAAAGATCATATTGAGTTTTGGCAGATTTTCAAAGAGAGATTTGATTACAGAACAGTGAAATTCAAGATACTGCTTCAGCAAATCATCACCTTTCCCATCAACAGAAATATCCCAATGGGCCCAGAACAGAAATTTAATTTAGACGCCTCTATTCTTTTCAACAGCCAGTGAAAGCAGACCTGTATTCTACCGAGAGTGGATATGAAGCAATCATTACAAGCTCCTGCTAAATTGTTTTTCTTTTCTTCTGGTTAAATTTCAGTTTTACCACATGACAATTTTGTAACATTATTGAAGGGTAATATGGTTTTGTGAATTTTGTGCCTTACCTTCGGTTCTACCAGGACCATCCGCATTTTCTGATGTTGGATGTTGGAATCATCTAACATAATGTTCACTTTAACTTTATCAAATACATGTAATGTTATGTCTTCCACAGTAAGTGATGGTACCTGAAAGTTCATATTTTGTATAAATACTTGCAGTGTCTTATGTTTTTATAGAAATAAATATTTTTGTAGGAAAATTCAATCTTACATGTAAATAAAAATGGTCACAAATTAGTGCCATAATATCTGATATACATAATTAGATATCAATAGTATCACAGAAACCACTGTCAGAACCTGTTTATTTAGACTTACAAATACTATAG